TTGGGGGGGGGGGTTATGGTTTAAGTACTTTCTTCCACTTAGTGCACTTCAACTTTCTGTTAGATGATCAGCCACTGGCAAAGACTTTCATTATAGAGACACCTCAGTAACAACCATTTATTTGTTGTGGAGATTGAATTTTTCATTAGTGGAGAACATCGTTATTATTAATGACAGCCACAAGATGGAGTTCTTACCTTTTGAGGCTGCTGTTGCTCCAGAAGCTGTTGTCTGAGATGTTCTAAATTTTGTTGCTGTAACTGTTCAGCTAGTTGGTGAAAAAGTGAGTTGTTCACAGATTCTGGTACTAAGGGCCTAAAATGAAATAATTTAAATAAGAAAAAATACCACAGTTTTTCTCTTGTTTTAAACAGTTGGTAAACAGGTCTTCACAACTGCGCTTCAAATTTAACTACAACTGTAAAATAATAATTAACACAATCTAGCTAGTTCCACCTTCTGTTATCATCATTTTCACATTAACACTATGAATATAACAAAGCAAAGAACAAGCTAACTTCAAGATGAAGTCAACAAAACTTCTGGCAAATACTTATGTTAAATATTTTTAAAATCTATTTGTTTCATTAATTTAGCAAACTGTCTTTTCTCTTCCTATGGTTTCAGTATACTTATGCCACGAGAGAAACAACATTTCCCATACTATTTAATCTAATGTTCAAATAGTGTCATGCAAATTTTAGCATTTTTGATGGGAAACATAGCTTGATCTTACAGTTGGGAAGTGGGAGTTTCCTTTTTAGGCTCTTCATTTTGTTCAGATTCTTCCCCAAAGTCAAACCTGTCCATCAGCTTCTAGAAGAAAGCAAAATAAGGATCACTGAGTATTCCCCACAGGTTCATCTATGTATACTTTCTTTTCAAAAGAAAAATGCTTTTATTTCTCAACTGAAAAAGAAGTTTGGCAAGAAACCTCAACAGAAAATTAAATGTCATACTGCTATTGCTACCACACTCTTGAATGAATCAAATACCAAATTTTGTCTACGGATGTCAAGCTCTGGCTGCTGTTAGAAGCACAATGACATGTTCTTTCCATAGTAAGTAACAGCTAGTTTGGAGGAAGACTTAAACAAATTTTAGGTAATGGTATTTTTAATTAGAAGAAACTACTACAAAGAAGCCAACTATTCAGTCCTTTGGCAATTATTAAATTGCTCTACTTATACCAAGAGAAGATCTACAGCCTGGTTACTTTGCAAAGAACTACTGCGTTTTCACAAACACATGCCATTTAGACAAGCCGAATTCCTTCAAATATACTGCACTGCTCCTTGAAAACAACTTCTCACATAGACTGCAAAAAAATCTAAGCAAGCAGTTGTCACATGAGATGAACAACACTCCAGAGGGATAAAACGAAATACATCCAAAATGGAAAACGCAAAACTTGGATAAACTTCCTGCTTTATCTGTAAAGATGTCTATGCTGTAGTTCTGCTGAAGAAAACAGTTAGTTTCGTTTATTAATTTTTAAACAGTCCAGAAGCATTTCAGTAGCATTTACTTTCTTGAAGACTAAGGTAAAGAATGAGCCTGAAGAAATACAACAAATGTTATTTGTCATTCAAATTGCCCTTCTCAGGAACGCTGATGGAGCAGCACTATCAGACCCATGTCCATGCATCTTTGCACCTTGGAAGTATTCTGAAAAGCAGAGTTAATGCTGTTCTAAAAACTGCTGTAACTTCTTCTCATACCTTGGTCTCAGAAGAAGAAAACAGAAGGATGAGAACACAGGGCAGTCATTTTGAAATACCAAGGCAAACTCATCTCCAGTAACAAACTATGACTATTCAGTATCTTTGTCAGGATGCTCTAATTCCCCTCAATTACTAGAGTCCAGCAAGAAGAAGAAAGCTTAAGTGAACTAAGAGACTGATAAATCAAGAATTTTTAGAACTACTTTCCCAATTAAATAATTTAATGTAGTTGCAAGAAAAAGTATGTGAGTCTTGGAATTTCATGGTGTTCTGCACTAATCTGTCATAAAATGTGATCTAACCATCATCAAAGTCAAGAGTATTGACAAATATAGTGTGCCTAAAATAGTAACACAGAACCAATTCTGATCCTCCATGTCTTTACTGAACACACTCATTCAACATTCAAAATGTTAGTGGAAAAAGTAAGTGACCCCTTGGAATGAATAAGTGGTTGACCTCTCCTTGGCAGCAATAATCTCATCCAGGCGCTTCCTGTAGCTGTGGATCAGAGCTGCACGTGGTTCGGGGGATTTTAGCCCATTCTCCCTGGCAGAACGGCTTTAGCTCTGTCATATTCTCTGGACCTCTCATGTGTACGGCTCTCTTCCAGTCATTCCAGACCATCTCTACTGGGTTGAGGTCTGGGCTCTGATTTGGCCACTCCAAAAGGCGTATTTTGTTTTTCTGAAGCCATTCTGTGGTGGACGAGCTCCGGTGTTTTGGGTCATTGTCCTGTTGCATCATCCAATGTCTACAGAGTTTCAGCTGACGTTCAGACATTCTCACATTATCCTCAAGAATTTTTTGATACACTTGGGAATTCCTCTTCCCCTCAATGCAGCAAAGCAGGCCCAAATCATGATGTTTCCTCCACCACACTTTACGGTTGGGATCATGTTTTCCTGATGATATGCAGTGCACTTTTCTGCCAGATGTAGCGCTGCGTGTTCTTTCCAAATAGTTTGGTTTCATCCGTCCACAAAACATTTGCCAATACCACTGTGGAGTGTCAATGTGCTCTTTCGCAAATTCAGGTGTGCAGCAATGTTCTTTGTAGTAAGCAGCGGTCCTCGTGGATGTCCTGCCATAGACACCCTGCTTGATCAATGTTTGACGTCCTGTAGGCTCATGAACACAGATGTTAGCTGGTTCCAATGATGCCTTCGACTCTTTGGCTGGCACTCAGGGTTATTTCTTCATCTCACTGATGAGCCTTCATTGTGCTCTTGGGGTCACTTTGACTGGGCACCCACTTCTCAGTAGAGCAGTCACAGTCCCAAAATGTCTCCATTTGTTGATCGTTTGCCTGACTGTAGGCTGG